GTACCGTCTAAGTATCGTTTGATCTGCATGTGAGCTTGATGGGGTGGGGGTTTTCTGTTTTCAGGCAGTCGTCGATACAATGCATCATTTGCTGAGTGCACTTCCCGTGTGAATCAACGCACCTGGGATATATCAGATAGGTCCGAGATTCCTTCAGGATCCTGTCTTCTTCGCTTGCGACTCGAGCCTTCAGCACATTAAATAGTCAACAAGCGCGACGTTGAGATGAATCGGCATCGACATACCTTGACTCGACACGGACGGAGTGGGTTCAGGCTTCCCTCCCTGAGATAATGCACCAGAAGAGTGCACTTCAGCCGACGCTCCAGGAGATCGAGGTGCGAAAGCATCAGTAGTGTGCTCTGAACCATCGCGTAGCCAACAGTCAGCAGCTGGAAGATAGATTGTGCATATGTACATCGAGTCAAACGTCCATCTGACCTTGAGAAGGCGCCTGAGCGGGCCCTGCTAAAAACGATGGGCCACGCCCTCGACTCTCAGTAGAAGATCTTTCGAGCGCGACTCATGCAGGTTACTTACAATGAGACGGAGATAAGGTAGATGGGGCTTCGTTGAAAAATGATCAGCCATGGAGTAGTCAGAATAGATACGCAACAGCAATATGAGACTCACTATGAGACATCGTTCTAGATAAGCTCGATCCCTGCCGTGCAAAGAAGGCCGAAGAGGAGTCTTGTAATAGCTCTATGTGATTGTAAGCTGCTTGAGTAGGACTTCAAATACGCGACAACGCTGGAACTTAGGGTTCGTTACCTGGGCTTTGGGACTGTCTTTGAGCTGAACCTTCTCGGGAGCCTAGCGCTGCTCGATGTGCTGGTGTTTGCACATCAGCGATCGACTTGACCCGAGAGCGCCTCTTTCTGGTATACATGGGGGGTATCGAGATGACAAGAAGGAATCACGAGCCGCCTTTTATAAAGGAGCACAAGGAGCACAGCTGACTAGGACGTGAGTGTCGTACCCTGACAATAGCCGTGACAGCTCATTCTCGGAGTTGTGACATCATTGCCTGAGTTACAACATGTAGAGATGCAATGTAAGGTGCGGGATGCACCGAACAGACTTTGCAGATGCCCCTTTTCTAGAGATGATCTCCATCGGATGTAGACTGTGGGCGCCGCGGTTCTGTCCAGATAGTTGGCAGGCTCGGAAGTCGGGAAGACATCGTGAGATCGGTATTGTGGGTGCATATGGGCGCTGGGCCCGTCTACTCATTTTAGGTCTAGTAACAATCATCATGTCCGAGGGCGTACCAATTGCAAAGTGCAGCGACACCGGGAACATGGAGGAACTGGGTATTGCCGAAGGACAACGAGCCGTCAATGGGTTGAGATGACGTCGCTTCTCAGTTACGTATGGAGCCATCGAGCTCAGTGTCTCACCGCATCCCGATGAGGCTCCCTCATATAGTCCTCCTTCTTAACGATCTATACGCATCACAACTTCCTGCTTGTTGTACACGATGGCGCTGAACAATCCAGCATTGTACCGCCTTACTTCTATACTCACCGATCACACCCATAGTTTAAACGCTATGGCTTTCTCTACCGATGGTCTCATGCTTGCGACGGGAGGAGACGACGGCCTCCTCCTCATCTACTGCCTGTCCGTGACAATGAATACTTGGACCTTGAGATTTCGTTTCCAAGCAATAGGCGCCATAACTTGTATTGTCTGGAATCCTCGTTTTGAAGCGGTTCTCCTAGTCGGTAATCGCAATGGCGATGTTCACGTTATCCGGTTGAGCCGCGTTTGGAACCCTTGGTCTGCCGTAAGAAAATAACTATGCGCTACATTTTGCTTTCTGACTTTCTCAGACAGACATATCGACGCAGCAGCATTATATGGAAGCTTTCTAGGCGTAGCTCAGTCCAATGCCTTGCAATCAACCGTAGGGGTAACATGATCGCGATCGGTCACGGAACTAGTGTATCGCTAATGAAACAAGGAACACCATGTAGGTTCCAGTAGTTATTGTATTTGTATTTTGATGTTAATACTTTCACAGCTGCGTTTGACGACATATCCATCATACCCGATCCTCCGACATTTCCAGAGGTAGAGGGTACGCTTCCCCGCCCTGTCGCCCGATCCCTCCATTTTGTGGACGATGAAGACGTCATCATCGTCACCTATCTACAGCATGGGATCGCGTGAGTCGTATGATATGCAGTTATATACTTGACTTTTATTAAATGCTCTCTCATCCAGAGCCTGGAATGTCCGTACGCTTGGGCTGCGCTGGCAGATAAGGCCTCGTACTTGTCGCATGTGAGTCTCATTAAGCTTTATCACAAAACATGACTGATTTTGCCAAGTGGGGCATCCTCCCTGTCTCCTGATGGGGCAACGCTTGTCGTCTCAAATCTCTATGATGGTCTTGACCATTACTCTATCCCGACTCGTCGGTGGGTTAATACGACCATGCACCCCGTTGGCGATAACGTCTGCATTCCATTGGAACACATACATGACGGTTCAGATATCCTCTTCGGAGGTAGTATAGGATGTGCACGAATCCTACACAAGGCAAACTCAGAGATCGTTGCAGTCCTTGAACATGACGGTAAGACGCTTTTATATGTTTTATTCAAGCTATTACGAAATTAACTTCTCCATCAGATGACCTGGTGCAAGCGATTGTGAGTAAAAAGACTGCTTTCTTCAGAGTCGTCGCTTACGGTCAATTCATTTATTTATTATCAGGCTTACTGTAGGCGAAGGCCGAAGGTGCGTTCCACGTCCATCGTTGATTGGTTCTCCCTCACAATATTTCACAGGGCTGGTGGGGTAGAGGCTTCGCAGATCAGATAGCGACAGGAGTCTCCGAGTGCGGCTCGCGTACGGAAGTGAGAATTTGGTCTGGGTCCGAAGACCCTCGCGATACATTTGCGAAGGCTCTGACGGGGACTTTTTCAACATTCAAATCCTTAATTCCATCTCGAGTAAGAATGTGTCATTGTGTAGTGTTTGTCTGGTACTGACCTGTTTCTTAGCGCGACTTCACCGTTGTGGCATTCACTATTGTCGCAATCGCCGTGATCGCAGTTTTATCACCGGAAGCTCGTGTCAGGAAACTACTCCGCTGGCTTCTTCAGCATATGAGGGAGTTTGTCATTCAGCCGCTGGTAGATGTCTGGCGCGTTATCAACGCATCGGATGGGGAACTGACATATGTTGACAATCTTGCCGATGATGATGATGACGCACTTCTGGACTCCGTGCACTCCAAGTGGGCCTCTCATCATCAGTTCGAGACAATCACTGTGGGCTCTCCGACGCAGACACTGCGGTGGACCGCAATGCCCAATTAACTACCTATTTTTATCTCATAGTGATTTTGACCCTAGCTACCTCCTGCATTGCTTCCATTTGTACGTAGCTGGAGATGACTTTGGAAGAAAAAGACGGGGGTAACACTATGTCATCTGTGGACTCGTTTATGAATCTTCTGCTTCGCAATTTACAATTTCAGGATTTATCTGCTTCCAGCTATTCTTTTTGTCCGGACGTTAGTCGGGCCATCGAAATTGTCGTGCGTTTGACCATGGTGTACATATGTCAAGTGTACTACTGCCACTGCATGTTTCACGATAGTATTCGGGTTGCTACGTTACACACAATGCGAAAAGAGAAACATTTGTAGGAAACCGAGCCCTCACACTTCGATTGACCCTGCGTCTATCCCCCTTCACTCTCAATAGTCAGAAAGTTGTATAGTCCCCTATGGTCGCACTCAAATTCATGCGCTGCAAAATTTCCAATGCCTGTATGTCGTGCATCACACTGGATAAAGTTATATATTAGGCACTGGTTCTCGCACAATATAATTCTTACCGTTGAATCAGCTTCAACTCAATCGTCATGGGTACAACGTCAATAACTCGCTAGAAAGACGGGGCAGGAGGTTAACAGCTGTGTATACTTAGAGGCCTGATCCAAAGATACATACCGAGCAAGAGGCTTCGAAATATGCGGATACTTCCGCCATAACAGTCGACTCCCTCATGTACGGACTGTCGAGGCTCGCCTCCGACCAACTAGTCCATCCAGGGGTAAGTAAAGGCAGCCAAATATTTGTGTACTGTTTCTGTATGGAGTCCTCCTCAGATTGTGGTGTTGTGGATGCGTAATCGACTCTACATTCCGCGCGATCTACGTGACTTAACAACCATTCGTCCTTGGCAGCGTGAAGTTCGTCGATGTTTTGAGTATACGGCATGCGTTCGGCTTCCAGGTAGAGCTCGACAGAATATTGGCAGGCAGTTATATACTCCTCCACAAAATCGAAGAAAGCAGATCTACGGGCACTTCAATTATCAGCCGGATGTGACGCACTGTGTTACGACTAACCTCACGAGAGCGTGTAGATTTTCCCACCGCCCAAAATGCATCTGAACAAGGTTGAGGATAGTGGAAAGAATGTTCATCTTGACCTTCGAGATACAGACTTCGGCAAGAGATTGCCACGTCTTCTGTGAGTCCTGAATGAGCTTCAACCTGTATGAAGAGAACTTGTTTTGCGTGCTAGAAAGGACAAAATGCCTTCACAAAGATTGAACCAGGTACAATCATCGCCTGAATCGAAACAAAGCTGACGAACCTGTCCATGTTCAACTTCATATCGTCAAGGTAAATTGGGCTGTCTTCAACTCCTTCCGCAAGCTGATGCGCACTTCGGACTCGACGTATAAAAGACGGGCATGTTCTATATACTTCATCTTTGAAGGTGCTGTATGCCGAACGATATGTCAAGTTGCCGCCTTCGATGCTATGAAGTTGGTGTTGCATCTCGCTGCATACACTTGTAAGCAATCTAGGAGTCCTGATTAGAGCACTGTATCAAATATTAACTGAGGTCCAACCTTTGTACATCGAAAATGTGTAGTGAAGATATCGGAACGATCTCCTTCCACAGAACGTCAGATTCTGTCCTTTTTCATGCGGAACCGTTTGAGTAAAACCCAGCATAAAGTCAGTAAGGGGTCATAGCAAGTAGCAGTGCCCATTAACCTCCGAGATTGCCTTGAAAAGGAGTCACGATCAGTCAGCATGTATTGGTGATTTCGAATGATGTATTCACTCGACCTTTCTATGTTCTTAATCGCATTGACCTCCTGCCTCTGCATAATATCCGCTTGTCTCAGTACAGGACGTGTCACCGTCGCGAAGCGTAGAGTATAAGATGACGCAAAAAGATACTGCGAGGTGGGCCTAATGAAGTAGGGGCGGAGTGCGGGGAGTACACGCAGATCCTACCCTTGCCCTGGACCACATCAACAGTTTCGAGGATACTAAACCACTTGGTATTTTGATTGCGCTTTTCCATAATATCTCATCGCCCTCAAAAACACACGAATCGATTTTTTTGCGGCCAACTGGACAAATCCTGATCATCTCATCCTAATAAGCCGCGGAAGAATATCGCGCCACCCCCTTCTTTTCCTCATGATCTGTCTTCTACTGCGACACAAGATTCTGATGAGAACGTCGCGTAGCTCACCAAAGTTTACGCTGTTGCACGACAGTTGATCTCAACACATGCGCTTATGTAAATAGTAAGCATCACGGAGACGTTGGAGACTAACGGATGGGGAAGATGCTTAGGTGGAGTTCAGGCCATTTATCGTCAGGCGGGCACTCGCGAGAACTTCCCCGAGTCAGACGGTGCGGAGGTGCGTGAAGGCAAAGATCCCCAATCGTCTGTGTGTCCTCAACGAGTTAGACGGTGCCTGCTTTGATGAAAGTGATCATGGTTCATTTCATGTCGCCAATGTAAAATCACACTCCTATCTCGAGTTGCGATGGACCAGCTGCCGTGCCCCTGAATCACAGAAAAGTATAGTATATAGCCTGATATATCTAAGCTCGGGAAATGTTGGCTGTTTCGAAACAGTACACCGGTTGGTCTGGCTACTGCGGAACGTTGTTTCTTATGGGATCGTTTTGCGCTTTGACTTATTTTACATTACCTCCTTGCGTATTTCTCAGATGCTTCTCCTTGCGCCCACCATTATCACCGTATACCGACTGCAGTTATCATGAGATGGGCTTCGAATTCTGGTGGTAGACCTTCGTGTCTCTTCGGTTCGTATACTATGGAGATGAGATCTCCGCGGTGATACCTTCCTACGGTGCAGATATGACCGGTGGTGTTGACGAAAACGGGAGTTTGATTTGGTCCTGTTTTGTTTCTTACCTTTTGATGTATGATCTGTGGTTTGTCAAGGCTCTGCAGGTGACAGAGACGGGTATAATATCCCGTCCAGGAGTGCACCTCCCAGCCCTGAAAAGAGGGCTCAGATGCAGGTCGAGTTCGACACGGTAACCCTGCCTGCTACCTCGTTTGGTGCTTACATTGGACTACGGCAAGACCAGCTAGACACGTAAGAGCCCCTAAACATATGTCCTTGTTCGCTGGTAGGGCTTCCATACACCCAGAATGCAGGTTATGAATTTTAGAAGCAAATAGAAATTGATGTGCTTCATCCGAGGACGAGATTACCTTCTCCTGAGGTCTAGAACACCCAGCGGAGGTTACAAAACAATAATATCGAATACTGTGACAGCACATCGAGTTCAGGAGATAAATGAACCATTTCCCCTCTGGGGGTAGTACAAGAAAACCAATGATATGGAACATTTCCTACATGAAAATTTTCAAGGGAGGGAAAGAGTAAATTCTTCAGAGACTGGACGACAAACGTAAACTATTTTGCATAGCACTGTTAGTTCGGGGGACGCATCTTTCACCTAAGAGTATCATTTCATCCGGAGAGACATAGTTAGCAAGACGTATACGATATCGAGGGATAGACAAAGAAACCAGTTACGCGAACCTGACCCATTTACTCACTGACTCCGTGGATCCGCTCATACTCGTCCATATCGAGAGGTATGACGCGAGTGCAGAGGAATAAATACTTCCATCGTCTACCGTACGTGTAGAGGTCGTATGGATGATGAGGTTGACCAATAAACGTGAAACCATCCAATATATCCCGCTCCCTATCATAGTAGGTCGACCAGATTTTAGTTGTGGCGGGGAGTATATGATAAAAAAATACGACCAGCCGTCTCCAGCTCTCGCAGTCCTGTATATTCCCATCGAGTATACTCGAATGTCCCATTCTAAGATGCTTGAGAGACTCGAAGTGTGACGCTGGAAGAGTCTGAGGGATGACTGCCTGGGCATCGATATAGATGGCGAGGGTCTGCAACCTTGGGCAGAAGCGTGCAAATGCCTCTATAGCGGCAAACGTCAAGTTACTCGATTGAACGAAAACGGGCTGTGGATTCAGTGCGATCGAGATGGCCTGTGGTTGGGTCTCAGCAAGCTCGCCGATATCCGCATCGGTGATGAGGAATGGGAACGTGTGGGAGATATCAACGACTTCTAGGCGCATTCTCGTCAGCGGCTGGAGATGACGCCATTCAACAGCCCCGATCTCGTCGGCGGTGTTATGGTCCCACGTATGTGAAGCAGAGAGGTGTAGTGTTAACCGACGAAGGTTTGGGGAGTGATCGGATAAGAGCTCGAGTAGGTCGTATAGTTGGGAGGGTTGGCATTGGTGAGGATAGGGAGCTCGCACCCATAACTTCTCCAGTCGGGAAAGGAGGAGATGGAGGGGCGATATAAAAGATATTAGGGTAGGGAGGCCAGTCGTTCCGAGCTCAAGAAAACGGAGTTGTCTGAATGCGAGAGAGTTTAGGTAGACTCGATCATGGGTACGGATGCGATCTTCGCTCATCCAGAATCCCCTCCGGGCGCCGTCTATGTCTACGGTGACGCGTGACAGACAAGGGTATCGGCCTAAAATCCGGAGCTCTTGGTCCCTCAAAAAATATAAGGGACAGCAAAATTCGATGAGGCTATCCCACTGCATCAGACAATCCTCAAGCGCGCTAGCGAACGATGGATGTTCGAGAACAGTAGTCGACCGAATGTCGAGAGTGGTGAGATTTTGGAAGCGATGACCGGCAAATGATAGGGATCGGGAAGCACGATGGAGGATGTAATCGTCGACGGGAAGAAAGCCAAAGTTGAGAGAAAGCTTTGTGAGGCTGCGAGGATATAATGATATGACGAAGGATTTGATTCCTGTTCTGAGAGAATTGAGTTTGGGGAAAATGGGCTGGTCGTCACGAAAATATGCCAGTTCGTCGAGGAAAGATATGTCCAGGTCGCAGAGCCTTCCCTTCCACGAGAAATCGAGGGACGTCGTCTCCTTCGCGAACTTGGAGAAGAGGTCCCAGTTACCAGGCGTAGGATCACCAATGGTGCTCTACCGTCCATGATAAGCGAGAGGGTACTACAACGTCGTCCGCAAAGTAGTCCATGCTCACCAAAGTTGACTCATAAATACCATCGGCAGTGCGCTCGAACCTCACAAGTGATCGGAACCAGTCAAGATTGATATGAGCCCATAAGACGGTGATAGCGATCGTGTGCCAAGACTTGGATACGCGTGAGCACTGTGCAAGAGCAGCTCTCGCATTTCCGAGCAAAAGAAATTTAAAGACCATCACTGTCATCTCCTTTGATAGGATGAATCGATTCTGCCGAACGACGTGTTATAGCCTTTGCGGCATAATTAAGATTGACAAACATACCTGATTGTGGATCGCAGACGAAGACATGTTGATATAAGTTCAGCAACTGGATGTACGACAAACGGGTTCGTGTAGGAATCCAGTAACGCCGCGTGATATTTATACGCTGAAAGCCATTGCGAGTATCGGAGCAGCGGTGATATGCGGCCCGTCAAACTTGCCATCCAGTGTTATGTTAAATAGGAGGCATGTCGAGAAACAATGTACATAAATAGTCCTTACTACGGAGGAAGGGTACCTCTCACAGCAAAAAAAGGTAAAGTTTTTACCTGGCATTCATTCGGAAGAATCATATCACTCGACCAACATCCGTGATATATCCCGGTATGGGGTTGCCGCATCATAATTTAAGTGAACGAAAATTAAAGGCTGATACTTGCTACCACATGGAGGTACTGAAGAGCTTGCGCCACCCAGATCTGGGAGATTTTTCTGCACTTGGCGAACGTGGTATCTGCTTTCGCTCGGTGGGAGAGACCTCTAATCAGCATATGAGTCAAAATGGGTCTTCCGAGTTCTGCATGAAGTGTGAGCATCATGATCAGTCCCGACGCTTATCGGCCTATTCCGGGTTCTACAAACTCGTTACGAATATCCGGCTCTCATTCTCACGATGACTCTTCCATGCTATCTTCAATCGTAAGGCTCAGATGTGTCCTACTCACAAAATGTTCTTGCCTGCGGCTGATCCTTTCGTTGGCGCAGAAGTCTCCATTCCTTCGTGCTAACTGTATCCAGTTTTATGATAGCTTCTGCATCAATTGATCTGCGATATACCCGCGGACTTCGTGATATCTACTTTTTTTCCACGCCATTATTACCTGAAGTTAACGAGGAAAGATAGTGTTGGGGCTCGTGTTCTCCCAATAACCAAGAAGGATGTCCTCACAAGTTTTAAACCTGCGGAGCGCAAAGAGTCGCTAGTGATGCTCATGATCATCGTACTCAGCGGTGATAGTATCTCTACTCGTCTCGGAGCATGCTAGTACACTTAGTAAACGCTCCAGTATTGTCATTGTCACCGGAGTGAGCCAGATGAAGATATCAGCATAGATCCGGTACCGTAGCCTACTCATGCTAGGCAGTGTTGAACCGCCAACGAACCTTGGTTTCGCCACGAAACCATTCAAGTGTAGAACTCGGTACGTGAGGCATATCATGCTCAAGGTTCTGGAGAGACGACTATATTTCTGAGAGTAGGACAAATATATGTACAAAGCGCGATATATATGAGCACAAGAGTCATATTGAAAGTGGAATGGAGGTCAATTAGTACAGTAGAACCTCGTAGAGTCGGCCGTAAGAGAAAAGTTATCTCGGTGCTGCGCCATTGTATCACATCAGAGGACCAGGAGTTGCCCGTTTCTCATTCCTAGCCCTTGTAGTCATCATCGTAGCCCTCGTGTTCCAGCTGGGCTCGCCGCTATGGCCGGGCCTGAAGTGTAGAATACGATCAGGGATGAATGGGTGCTCTGCGCCCTCAGTTACCACCTCCCAATTTCCGCTTTTCCCGTACATCCAACAGGTCTGCATTTTTGTTTCTGGATTGCGATGTATGAACAGATGGCCCGTGCTGCACTTCAGGTTCGTGGGAGGATGCGGTATGGATTCCTCTTGGACGGCGATCTGCCATGTTGTGAACCCATTTCCAGAGCTCGAACTAAAAGGTCGACTATTCACGGGTAAGGCACGCAGCGCAGATCCGTCACTAGCTGCCTCCATGACAGTAGGCGATGCATTGGTCCTTTCGAAAACCATCAGCAGAACTCCCAGTAAACCAGTACGGAAGTAAACGTACAGGTTTGCGACGCGTGCAAGGCTTCGAATAGCTTCCAGCAGTAGCGACCGGACAGCGGGAGAGGGCATCTCAATTGTTTCGAGCTGTGCCTCCGCAGCTCTGTCGAAAGTCGTCAAGTCCCCAGACAGCGCTGCTAAAGTTCTAGCCATTGGCTCAACTGCAGCTGAGGGCAAAGAAGTGGTTCGCAGTGATGTCGCAATAGCCTCCGTTAAATACTCTCGTGTGGAGACATTGGTGGTCACAGAACTTCTTGGTAGATCAGTACTATAAATTCGCTCCTTTTCAGCGCACCGTACTTCGAGACTAGTCACGAACATACCCTTCAGAGCCTTCAGGAGTGCTTTGTTCCTGTGCGTGATCGGTGTTGGCTGGGGCCATTGGTTCAGTTCGTCTGACAATCAATTGAGCCACCGTGTACAAAGATCATGGTATGTAGTATAGATATACCGTTGTTTATGTTGTCTTATGACAAGATTTCCGTCACCGTCAAAACTATAGCGACGAGCGGGAAATCTCACTCTTACGATTGGCGTCTGAAAATCATAAACCATGATCAGCATTGGAGAGCGCTCATGATGCTAAATTCAACATACCATGTCGACAGCCGCTGGAAAATCACTCGTGGTGAGCTCGAAGGTCTTTACCATCGTGCAGATGCAAAGTAGAGTTGCAGAGCAGCCAGTGTGGATGGGCTTGTAGCGTTGGAATGAGAATGGAAGTATATTACCTACAGAAGTATGTGTTGAGCCGTTCATGCGCGTATTCCGATAGAAACCGTTCCGCATATTCTGATCCGCAGCAAGGATGAGAGTCTCACACGCTGTAACATAGTACTGTGTGGCCCGAAGGACCCGAACGCTGTTGAAGAGCTTAGAAGAAAATAAGAGTGATTCGTTGATGGAAACGGAGCACCGACAGAGAGGTGTACCGGTATGACATTTTGCCACTCTCAACAAGACCGCATGAGGACCATGACGACCGTGAAATTAGGTTTGTGTCCTTACCAAGATCCTTCACACACGGCAGCGGAGCAGAACATTCATCATGTGGTATCCGTGAGTATATTTTGGGCTTGCTCTGCTACGCAAGGGCTTTTTCAGACAGCAACTACGAGCAACGGTGACATTGAGGCGCAATCCCGCTTTAAATTATCGCCCACGCGGTGGTCCGAGTTGCTTTGCAGAAGTAACATAGATTGACTTTTAGTCACATCGCCATCACATGTTGTCCGCTCCGTTTCGAGATTTGGCGATCCCATGGTTTTTAATAAGTTCATATGGGGCATAGTGTACCGAGAGTATGAAAAAGCCGAGTGAGCCGCAATACAGACCGGTAGTTTAGTCCGAGATACCGGTTACTCTTTCATACCCATAGAAGAACTAGAGTACTACGAATGCAGAGACACTAGTTGCCCAGAAACATTCTGTGCATAAATCAATCTGATGTCTGCCCCCCAACAAAGAACACAGTATACTAGTTGTGAGCCTGTGATATAATACAGAGGAAAAAGAGGTTTCAACCGCTGATAAGTAAGCGGGAATGTGGTAAATGACCTGCGCTATAGACGAAGATGATAGTCTGATGAAGCAACATTCACTCTGTTTGACGTTTAAAACTACTCAGCAATATCTAGAAGAGTGATTCACAAGAAAGTATCATCAAATCACGACAGTAGAAATAGGTATACGATGTTACAACGAACCTTTCATGCCTCTATCCTCAGCGGTATACCGTATCCAAAATGTTGGTCATATATCCATCGCTGAATAAATCTTACAAACCATAACTTCAGCACCAGATAATATGGAGAGCCTCACCGACTTACGCGCCGACCGCTTTCTCAGCGGATATTAGTGATGCAGCCTTCCTGAACACCCGTCTACTCCCTAAATAAATCACTCCGATCTCCCCTCTCCAATCTGGGAAGCGCTGAAAGTCACGCTTCACAGCATGATTCACTGGGTAGCCATCATCATAATAAGCAGAGACAAGGAATGGAATGCCATCAACTTCGACTCTGCAATCGTGGACATGATGGAAAGTCTGCCGGTACTGGGTGAAGGCATCTTCGACTCTGATATACGGCAGAATATCGAAGGGATTGGCAGTCACGCAGCGCGTGGAGTCGAAGCTTTTTCGAAGTCTTCCTCGTTCAGCGCTGTAGCACCAGAAGAGTCCATGCGCGTCGTTGGGCGTTACGATCTGTATAAACAAAAAAAATAGGATCAGAGACAGGACAGTAGGGCTTATAAACTCAGGAGATCATTGACGGTTTGAACACCGCGAGGTTCCAGCCGCAAAACGCCCATGATTAGTTCGCGCCAAGTTGAAATATTCTCAGACGGCTGGTATTGAGTGATACGGGTCGGCGAGTTCAAAGGGTGTGTTGAGACCAAGTTTAAAGTACAGCCTGGTTAAGAGGAAACCGAGTACATGGGACTGTGCAGAGTAATTAGATGCCTCGGAGCTCCCCGAGAACGGCCTAACTAGATATCAAATAAGCCCGCCCGCGATCCTCTTCTGTATAGAGACAAAGGAACAATTGGATCTTTGGGTCTTCTCCGCGGTGTGTCGGATATTGCCGCTGTATCACATTGCGGCCTTCTAAATCATACAGCTACTCGGATGGGTCCTCAAGGACCGGTCCATAGATTTGTTATCCTATTGCGAAGAGGGGGTGGCGAGACTTCCTCATGGCCACGAATGCTCACACAGGACTGAGAGATGTTTCTAGCATAGATTACGAAGTTGGGATTTCTCTCACCTGGGGAGAGCTCCCCGAATCCAAATTTGGCCTCCTGGGTTACCTTGCCGCAGAACCAGGGGATCTACTATGATCGAACATCACACATCCTCCCGAGATAGTCGTAGCGATCAGACCGAGTTATTTCAGTCTGAGGAATCGAGACTGTGCCTTTAACGACTTACATACCGAGTAGATGGTGGAATAACCCCGTACTATCCGAAGAGTGCTGCCAGGACTTCCCATCACCTATACTTCTCCGCCTTATATATTGCTCCGTCTATCATCTGAACCTGTTTTCTCAGATTCCTCCAGAATGTTTGCGGCACACCCAAACTTACACGTGTATGTGGTCGTAGGACCAACAGATTCATCGGAATTAGCACTTTATCCTGACTGGCTTCACCCCAAGGTAGGCATTTCTCATATCATATCTGTGTCAATACATTACTTAATAACTCACTACTAATAGTGGGTCCGAGCATTCATATTCACTGGAGCTGCCTTTATCACAATTCTTCTGCCAATTCTGATCTTGCGTAATAAAGTCACCGTGGTTAGTCTTTTTTTTTTGTCTGTCTCGCATATATATCCTCTGAAGCTTATGAGCCCAGATACGGGCCAATATCATAGCAACAAATATAGCCCTCCTATCCATGCTCGTATACGGTCTGTACGAGTATCGACCTGCCATCAGCTGGCGTGTGGAAATTGTCACAGCGAGAAAGTTGCAGGCTCCGAGTGTGCCCAGCATGGGCATACTAGCTACAGCTGTGCAGAATATGGCTATATCCATGATGAGAGTACTGGTTGACGTAGTAGCGCACTCAGCCACTCTGATTCTGCAAGCGGAGGTATGTGGCAGCAAGCTACGCTGTATAATCTGGTTATGGATGTCTTCATCAGCTAGCAGAGATTATCAAGATCCTTGCAGTCTATGTATTGGGATTGTTCTCCGGTTGTCTGTCGCTATGGAGCTTTTCATAGGTGTGTAATTTTGTCTATCCCATCAGGAATATCTTCTAACTCCCACTATTGTCTATCAAATAGAAGGCGTTTGAAGTGGGCGAGGGCATAGCTGGAGATGACGTATATTTCTTCACTGA